AAACTAAAAGTTATTTTTTATCAAAACTTTAAATATTGTTTTCTCAAAAACTAAAAGTTATTTTTCAAAACGGGTTGGTTCATTGGAAAGAGGACACTTTTATTAACACTTTGGGAAATTTTCATACTCATATTCCAAGAAGTGGATTTTATACGAATTTTTAAAACTTAATCGGCGAAAATAGCAAAATCGATTATTTCAAAAATTTATTTCTCAAGAACTAAAAGCGATTTTTCAAAACGGCTTTTTGCATCAAAAAGATGATACTTTAATTAATAATTGGTGATATTTCCACAAGGTTATAGCGAATTTTGATTCAAAATATTCTTCAAATATTGATTATTAGTTTTGGAAAATGAGTTCAAAAAAAAAAAAGGAATTAGGATAATAATTTTTTTTAATAAATGGTTGTTGTTTTATTCTATAGATGGCACTGAAACATAACAGTGCAAATTTAAACTCAATAAGACTCTTATTTTTTATTAATTAAATATACTTAAATACAACTATATACAATCGTATGTACATTATCTACCATTTTGCTAACGTTACCATGTTTGTACCACATTTTTTTAATTGAAAAAAAAAAAAATAGAGAAATAGACATTTTTGCGTCGAAAAAAATACACACACGTAATTTTTTGTTCGAAACTGGTGCGTTCTTTTTTTTAATATTTTCTCGTTTCAAAAGGTGAAGAAAAGATAATGATGAGGGGAAAAGAAACGAGAAATTGGGTGGATCATGGGTGGAAATCAAGAAAAAGAATAAAAGAAATAAAGGCAAAAAAAATAAAAATTGAAATGGCCCTATTTTTTAATAAATAAAAAATAGCTCTTTGGTGTGTATATTAAAAAAAATATACGTTAATATATTCCAGTTTTGTAGTAAAAACTATATAAGTATCAGAGAAAAATATACAAAAAAACTCGACATAAACGAGGGGAAAAACGGAGTTGTTCGTAGTGGTTTCTTCGTTTATGAAGGGGGCTTCCAACCCAGGGCAGGTGGGCTGGCATTAGAATACTTAGGTATGGGATTTGAACACAACATTGGTTGAATACTAAAGCACTATATGAGTACACGTCGTAGAAGGAAAGGCACGTATGGGCTCGTAAATATCACAAAACTTTTTGGGTTTAATGACCGTTCCAAAAAACTGAAATTATACGATCGTTACCCAAAAAGTAATTATACATCCCTTTTAAAAAAATTTTTCTTAAAATAATTTCGGATTTTATAAAAGGGTTTTTTTGATTTTTATTCGGAATGATAATAGTTTGTTTATTTTAACTCATGCATATTTTTGCTGAGTAATAAATTGTTGTGGGGTCCCGAGAGGTGCCTTATAAGTTCGGGAAGCGCCTCGAATGACAACGGACAAAAACAACAATTGAATCTCCCGACGTTGCCCTCGTTTGAAGATATCACGTTCCTGTGCACAGAGCACAAGTGCTTCAATAAGTGCGCCTTTTGTTTGAACATGGCCACGCATAGTCGACACGCAAACGGCTTCTCCCCCGTATGAACTCGAAGATGGGTCTTTAAATTCCAAGACATCCCGAATTGTTTCCCGCAATAATCGCACCGATATTCGCGAATTTGTCCAGTTGGCCCGCTTTGTTTTCCACTTCCGGTCGCATGCGATTCCTGTTCATCTTGACCACTATTTGTGAACGAAGCCGAAACTTCCCTATCTTCATTCGGGGATGGATTTACAACTTGGGGTTGACACAAAGACCACGCCCCCCACGACGCATCAAACGAAGGATACGATTCCGGCGTTATACTTTGATCCGCACTTGGTGGACGATACTTAATAATCACGTTATCTGGCGGTCCAGAGTCTGCATGTTGTCCTGGAGTTGGAGTATGCGTCCTATCAACTAGATAAGGTGGTGCAGAAAGCGATAAAGCATTTCTCGATAAAAGCGGCAACGAAAGGTTTTTGAATCGATGGTGATCGTCGATGTAGGACGGCGAAAACGGCACAAAGGGTGGGTTTTGAGACGGGCTATTATGAAATCCAGGTCTTCGTTTTCGATGAGGTGTAACTACGTAATTATCCGGACTTTGTACTAACGAAATTAATTTTTGATCGCCGATCGGCACTTTTAATTGGGATACTTCTTCTTGGTGTTTTAAATCAACCGGTTCTATATACATGGGTTTTCTTTTTACTTTGTGGCAAAGTTCTTGAACTTTTTGAGCTATTTTTACTGTTGATTGACCTATTTTTAATTCTGTACTTAATTCATTTTTCTATAAAAAAAAAAAAAAATAATCGTTTAATAATAATTTTTTTTGCGACTTACTTGAAAATTATCTTCTTCTTTTCCATCCGAGGATTTAGTATTTAACGATAAATTAACGGGATTCGGTGAATTACTTTGACTATGATTTGAGTTGTCGTCGTCGTCGTCGTCGTCATCTTTAATCTCGCCTTCTTCTTTATCGTCGTCCTCGGCTGAATCGTTTTCCTTTTTGACCAAAATTTGATTAATGTCCGATTCGGATTGAGACCAGCAATCTTCGTTTTTCTTGTGTTCTTCAGACGACTCCCAAACTCCAGATTGGATCTGGAGAAGATCAAATAACTCTCGTATGCTTTGTAATTCGCTCGACTGCAACCAAAATAAAAAATTTTAAGTTATTAATTAATTGGTGCAAAAACGGATAAGACTTACTTGAACGCAAGCTTGTCCATGATATAGAAAATCTAAAAGATGTCTCAAATGACAACTTTTGATTCCCGGAATCAAGACGACGCTTGGTCCATGAGCGTGAACGGATTCGCCCAAGATTTGGCGAACCAAAGGACTCGCTGAAGCCATGACGAGCTTGTGTGCACTGATGACCGTTTTATCGTCACAAATAAAAGTCATGTCGGCGAAATTTTCGGAACTAAAACAAGTCCTAATCTCGTCGACTATCGTCGCGTGGTGTTTCCCATAATGCAGCGTTAATAAACCCTGTGTTTCTTGTTCTTCCGAGTACATGGCTGGTCGCGTTAATAATGGTTTGGCCGGAAATCACCTGCAATCATTTATAGCGTCTTCGTTTCGATTCGTGCTAATATCTATTTTATTATTCGAGTTTTTAAAATGCTAATGAAAAGATTCATCGAGGAATTAAAACGACAATTATCGTAGGAATTTAGAACATTTTTTAGTTTAGATAACTTATTTTGATTCATATTAAATAATGAGTAACTCAGGAAGGAATAGGCATTTAAGAAATGTTAAAAATATTTAATTTAAAATTTTTTAATTTTATATAGGCAACACATCAAACGTGGGTTATACATCACGGGTTGTATATATTAAAAAGAATTCATTTGTTTTGAAGTTTAACAGTTAAGAAGATCGAATTTGAATTTGAAGTTTAATAATAATTTGACGAAAGAAGTGTTAATTCACAATGAAATGTAGTAACAGAAAATGAAAATGAAGAGAGTGTTTTAATACATGTCATTGCCAAATTACTTATAAATATGCAAGGTTTGTGACGTTTGGTAACATTTTATTCGTTACATAACTACTTAGAAGAGTCGAGGAGTATTAAAATCGTAAAAAGGGATTTTGGAGATTAAAATTGATTTTTTTAGTTAATGGGAAGAGTCAAGGCCGTTATTTTAACGCGAATTACAAGGCGAAAGAAAAAAAGGAATGAGAAACGGGTCGACAGAGCGTAGACGTAGCGTTGAAATCGCGCGGAGGTGCGATAGTAAAAAGAGAAAGGTGTCCCTAAGTGGTGACATAATAAGTTTATTTTCGAAGTAAGATGTCGGGAGTTGTAATTGGGTCCGATTGACAGGAAGAAGCCGTTCGATTACTTAATAGTAAAAAGTAGGTCAAAATTCGAAGCGAAAAGCTCCGCGGAGCGTAGTTGCGAAACGGGCCGCAGTGGCGCCGCTGTTATTTTTTTGAAAATTTGAGCGCGCTCGGTCGGGGATTATGTCACGAGGTGGTTTTAAGAGAGAACTATCGTAGAAATCGTATCGTACTTACAGGTGTTTGTCATTTGAATTGATAATCCGATGGGATTCATGAAAATAAAGGGTGTAAAGATATAAAAAAACGGGTTGTCCTTCCGTTGTCGGTGGTCAGATGGTGCGTCGGTCGGTTCCGGTCAGTTTAAGGGCCGTTTCGCGAGCGAACGGTGCCATAACTCACTGGTAAACACTTTCGCGCGGCCGCAGTGGTGTCTTCTCGTCGTCAGCCGAACGGTAGAGTGGATTGTATTTTTGGGCCACGCGACTATCGGACCGCGGTTACGACACAAATGAAAGTAAAAGTGAGCCTGAGCCCCGAGCCTTCGCAGTCCCGCGGTGCTGCGCTAAACTTTTGAGCCGAACCGTTTGTTGGCGACTCTTTCGCCTTCCTACGACGGCGGCGCGCTGCTACGAAAACGACAACCGTGTATCGGTATTAATTGGCATGGATTTTAGAGCCGCTTTGTCCTCCGAATCGCACATAATACTACTAGTTCTTAATTTCTCCCTTTCTTTTCCCCCCATTTCTCTTCAGCCCAGCCCCACCATGTACTCAGCGTGCACCTCTCCTCGCGCGCTGCCACAACGCTCTCGTGGCGCAGGGCCGAACTACGACGGACCGACCGCACCCGAAATTTTAATCCCCAACTCCACTTTCCAAACCCTAAATTTACAAAAACACCGCAACTCATCATATACTATTACAATTCTACTCCACAACAATATGCCAACTTTTGTCTGATGATTGACTTTTATCACGTGATGTTTACTCTTAGTTTTTTTGTTACAGCTTTACACCAAAAAATCGAAAATATTAAGTTTTCTTAATATAATTTGATATGGCATCGTTGGATGATCCAAATACAAGACAAGCCTTGGATTCCGCAAAAGATATGCAAAACGTGCATTGAGTTTCTACGTTTGTGGACAAATAAGAAATGAATGAACCACGACGACAATTATTTTTGAATAATATCCTTGAATATGGAATATCCTCATAGACGTGTTTTGAGTCCTAACATATCACTTGAACCTCGTAGCTACAACCAAGATATTCATCCTTTCTTAATAACGATATATATATTAGAGACATCAATGAGTGAATTTGATAAAAAAAAATTTGCAAAAACTACAATAACAAGCATAATATGTTGGTGTGTTTTTGAAGGTCAACATCTAGCGACAATGAAAACAGCAAAGAATGTTCGGGTCACGATATTGGGCCAGGTTATGAAAACATTACAGTTTTCTTTTAGTGCAAAAACGAATGTGTTGAAATCAGATCATTTCAGGAAATTGAGACGGAAGAAAGATGCGCGGAATAGACGCGTGGGCCAAGAGTTTAAGAGTTAAGAGGACGAGAAGGCCTTGTGGCAATAAATACGGACCTGGTGAGACGCGTCTGTGTGCGTTCGTCCGTATGTATGTGTGTGTGTTTTTTTTTCCTATTCCCGGCTCACTCGCGGCACCGTCTTTCTCTATTCAAGGTCGCGGGGTAGCGACTGCGCTTTGAAACGGCGTTTGGCGCGAGTGCAAACGCATTTCGCGCGATCGTAATATGGGTAATATGGTCGGGACGTTCCACTTGGTTCCACCACGTTCCTGTGTATTTTGAATCCGGCGGCGCGCCACTACATATGTACCTACTTAGTATCGCATCATACATTTAATCGGCCGCAATAGGGCGACGACGGCCCTCTGGTTGCGCGGCGCGGCGGCCACTTGGCATTCCTCGATCAGTTCGGTTTGCTTTCACCGAGGCTGCCAAGGCAACTCGTCCCGAGTATCCGAGGCCCATTCTGGGGCCATGCGAAACCGTACTTTCACAATACCGCGGGCTGGCTCCATGGTGGGGCGGCCGGTTGTATAATGGTGCTGCAATACCATTTCAACGGCCAACCGACGATATCGAATAAAAACAATCGTTGGCTATGCCAAATAGCTCTCGAAATATCTCTCCGAAAAACATCCGGAAAAGGTTGCGGGGGATGCACCTTTCAGTTTATACTTTGCCGAACCAAACTTCCAAACTGGCCGATTGGCATGACGCCACGAACGCCCTTTGTTATTTGAAACCTTGAAGAATGTCCTTTCTTTAACCTTCGGATCGTTATTAATTAAACGTTACGTCACACCTATTATGCATTCTACTCCCGTTTCGGATCTAAACATAACTATTACCTTCCACCTCTACAACTACAACCGCGGATTGTTGGTTAATTTGCCCGACGGTATTCCGAAGCACGGTCGTGCGCGACTCTCCAAAGAAATAATCGGGCATAAATTTAGGGAAAACGCGCCGGCTAAGATCTCTAACTCTTTCAGCCGTGCCGACAAGAATACGAATTTGACACATTTATTTACCGATTTCGTAAATAGAAAACTCTTTCAATAATACTACCGAATATCATCTCGAACCAGATGGCCACTTTTAACTAATCCGATTCGTACATAATTTTGTAAATCGGTGTAATTAATGTATGTTAAATGTCAACCCCGCTAAAAGCGATTGATGACAGTTATTAGTTAATTAGAAAATACTATAAATGAAAGGTAAAAAATGAACGTTTCGAAGTGAGTAAAGAATTTTGCACAACCTAAGCCACAAATTAATACCGTGTGTGACGATTTTACCTCCTATTATAGCATTACGTAAATGTCGAAATGATGAACGAATCGGAAGTAACGACATTAATCTAAATATTGAAAGCTGAAAAGAAGAGTTGTTTTTAAAGAAAAAAACATGCAAAATAACATAAACTGAGGAGCATCCCACGATCAATATCAGTCCTATTCTGGGCACCAGACACCGTTAGCCTCAATTTGTCCAATTATGCCTAATTTACAATTACAATATCATGGCTCCTATTAACTAACCCAGTTGTGGATGCGCACACGAGAATTTTTGAAACGGTGCACAGCGTCACTAACCTAATCTCTATTTCTATTTCTATCAATAGCAGCGGCCGCCCGGTTGCATGTGCAAGTACAATTGCATTCTTGGACGAGCGAAACCAGACCGTCGTCGCCAACCCCTTTCGAAAAATGGGTTAGTAGGCGAACTCCGGCTCGGATTTATATTTGCGCAAAGCCACTAGTAAACGTTCTTTCCGAACGCGTCTATTATTAGAACCGCTCTATTCGATGTCGGTTTGCGAAACACTTGTACTCAAAAACCTGCACAACAGGAAGAACCAATAAGAAAAAGAAAATTTTACAATCATTTCAATTTCACCAAACTAGTTTCTGCCAAGGTAATCATCATCATGGTGACCAAATATAGTCGAGGTTTGTTTAATACGTTATGAATAGAGAACAGGTGGTAGAAATGAAATATTGAAGAGTAACGTAAGAGTAAAAGATCGTTGCAAAATGCGAATAAATAACCCAGAACTGATAAACAACAAATTTCAAGGATGAATCTCGGTGCGAGAACGTACTTAAACAATTGCCGTGCAACTTCAACGACCCATATCGTGTTACGTAACGGCTCCCTCCACCGCGACACTTTCCTTGGGCCTTTTTTCGCAGCGCGAAGCCGCTTTTTTGCGGAGAGCAACGTGGAAAAAGACAGAAAGAGAGAGAGGCGAAAAGAAGACGCTAAACGCGCCGGAGCCTCCTCGGACACTGTCGACTACTATTCTACGGTTCGCCCGCTGTTAGTCAAGCAGACTTTCACTTCGCTACAAAGTAGAGACCTTGGATGGTTTAAACAGGTAAAATAAGTTTCGAGGACAACCGCGCCGACACAAAACTATCAATTACTTAATGCCGCGTTCGCCTGCATTACGCCAGAGCTCTCGTTCATTCGTTACTAAGTTCTTCATTCGCCTTACCACACGTCTCCTCCAACCTCACATCAACGCGGAGAGTTACTTTCCATTTCATTTCTTGTTTACTTACTTTCGCCTACTCGATAGGTTAACATTAAACCACCACGAAGGTACACTTACATCAAAAGAAAGTCACTCTTATTATTTCATACTAAATTCGATTTTACACAAATTTTTTTTCTTTGCAAACTAAATCTTGGGCATTGTGGTTTGGTTTAAAATAGAAAGCAATTTCTGAGCGATCTGGTGAAAGACGCGTATTACGAACGAACTCGAAGCGGGCGTTATGGGAACACTTTCGATTTCGTTGGACTCTTTAATTCTTATTATATATATATATATATATATATATATATATATAGTAGATTTCAAAGAGATGTTATTAATACAAAATAATGAAATAAATGGAGATTTTCGTTGAAATTTTGAAAGTGAATAGAAATATATATATAGATTATGGTTATCCTCGGTCATGTAACTTGGTACCATTGTTGTGTTCGCATTACGTTGAGAGGGGAAAGTGTCCATATTGTATCACTTTCACCGGTTCGCGTAATACAGTTATCCCGTAACCCTAATAAGATTTCAGGGCCACCGAGGCGAGATTGCGCAACTCTCGAAAACAAAGAGTGAAAATGCGACGACGCCGCCACCGACGCTGGTCGTCGTCGTCGATGGCGCCTTACGTAACGCGGCTCGTTCTTTTTCGAAAGTGAAAATAAAAAACGCCGCTCCACATTTTCGTAACTATAAGCCGAGAAGCTTTTCCTATCTCTCGTCGGTCCGTTTTTCGGCCCACCACTGTCTCTCTTGACTTTCTTCTCTCTGCGCGCACAAAGGTAAACGTAGAAAGTAAATTCCCTTACGTAATCGAAGCGTTTCCCCTCGCGACGTTTGCGGTGGTCGCAAATCGACGCCGTGCGTAATAGCGAATTATTAAGAGAGCCAAATAGAAAAAGGGATAGCTGTTTTAGGTTATTAAATAAATCACGTATGGCCGCGCGTTTTGCGTAATTGTTACATAAGTGTTTTTAAAATAAAAACAAGCCTGTATTCGTAATGGGTTTCTATATCAAACGCTACTAAGAAGGTTTAACCTTCGATTTACTTGGTTCATTATTATGTAACGATAAAACTCAATTTGAATAATAAAAATTTGAGGATCAAGTAACCACCCTGTATTATATATGTATTATGTACAGGCTGGTTACTAATTTTTGTTAATATTAATAAGTATTAAGTGAGAAATCCACGAGAAATCGAGCACCGATTGCGTTTCGTTGTAATTATTACCTAATAATGACCAAGGTTAATATGCCTAGTTTTTTTTGTGTCATACAGTATTAACCTAAGCAGTAACATTCTCCTCGCGGATAGAACCTTTTATAAGTAGCGCATCTACATGTCTTCGCGAAGGTTACGCGGTTATTACAAAAGATTATTCAATCGCGACTACGCTTTTTTACTGAGTTCAATTAATAGAGATTTAAAACCTTGAAACGGCAACAACTCACGTCCGTAGAAAGTCCGTAAGTTTTGTTGTCTGCTTCTTTTATAAACGTTGTTTTTATAGATATGCTTAAAACTTGAATCATCGTGATTCAGATGCAATATCAAAAACTGTGGGAGAATTAAATATTTGCGTAGATAGAACGAAAACGTTGAGCAATTGCGAAACGTTCAAATAGGTAAAGATGCCGATTTGGGACTGACCTTTTCCTGACTGAACGTATCCGAGACGGTAAACGACAATAACGTGATCACTACGAACACTAAAAACTCCGGACCGAGAGAGAGGACACGTCGTCGTAGGTACACAGTCCACAATACACTGAAGAAAGGAAGAAATCTTACTTTTACCTTACCCCTGAACCTGAAGGGTGTCCATAATACCCTTTCTTTTCTCCCATTGTCCCCGCGGTGCCGATGGTCAGCTCACTCTGGCCACAGATGAAACAACTCTACGCCCGCTACGTTTTACTTATTTATGATTTATTCTCACTCTTAGCCCCCCATTACATTTATACAAAAATTATTATAAATATAGACATCTATTTATATTAATATAATATAATATATTTCGATTAATCAACATCTTAAAAATTTTTTTCTAATCGGCAATCTTTCTTACTTGCTGAACCAAGAAGATAAAAAAGATGCTCGATTACAAAAAAATTGATACACAAATAATTATTATTGCCCATTACATATTACAACATATAACATCAAACCATCAATAATCGTACACGCAACATTAAGTTACAGCCATTTTTATTTAAATATTTCTTTTTATTTTTATCACGTGACATAGAATAATTCCAAACAATTATTTAATTTCGCTGTTTGGAATTACATAGGATGTTTCATAATACATGCGCAGGACTTTAGGATGTGATAGCTTGCCCAAAAATTTGAAAAAAAGTTTCTATCAAGTTACCCTCTAAAATGCACGAAATAAACAGAAAAATCAACTTTTATGTTGAATAACATGGTAAATTTTTTGAAATAAAAATTTTATTTTAACAAGTACAAAACAATTACAAATCATACTCTTAATTGGTCAACATTTTCAACTGGAGTACCGTAGACTACGGTTTTCACATGGCCCCAAAAGAAAAAATCTAAACAATTAAGTTCGGGAGATCGCGATGGCCAAAGGTGCGGACCTCCTCGACCGATCCAAGTGTATGTTCCAGCAGTTCCGGCAATACTTCTTCTAGAAATTCTCGATAATCTGCACGGTTTAATCTGTTCGGTAAAAAATGTGGGCCTATCAAATGAGGGCCTTCTGCAATTTCATGTGGATTTTCTTCTGCGCATATTTGGTTATTGTGAAAATTGAAAATAACATCCTTCGAGAAAGATGCTTCATCGGCACAAACAAAAAGCCAATCTTGGTGAAAAATCTCTTGGCAATAAGGCTTGTACTCTCTGGATATGGTAGGAACAGAAAAGTTGCCTTTTCAAATTTCTCCAAACCGTCGAGTGAGATAGATTTAAGTTGTGAGCAATTTTTCTGGTAGTTGTGGTCGGATTTTCATCAATTTCGTTGAGGACAGCCTCTTCTACTTGGGGATTTGCAATTTCCATTATCAGCAGTATTCCTTTTAAAACTTCCATTTTCCCATAGTCGTTGGTGAATGCGTAGAAATAAGTTATGGTGTGATACTGGACCATCAGGATTCGGTCGAATTATGGCACGCTATTCCGTAAAGGTAATGCATTTTGCACATTTCAGCGTTTGTATAATTCTTTTTTAATTTTGTAATATAAGTTTACTTTTTGCAGGTACAAACTAATTGTTATTTTGACAAGAGGTAGCTTTTGTTATAAAATTTAAAGCCTACTTGTTAAGAATAAATTATACAATTTTTACGGTTTGGAGAATTTTGAAAAGACAACTTTTGTATTATTTCTTAATTTTTTTTATTTTGCAATTATGAAGTTAATGCTTGCTTTTATTACTTGTTCTAACGTTTTAGTAAAATAAAACTTTTATTTCAAAAAATTTACCATGTTTTTCAACATAAAAGTTGATTTTTCTTTTATAGCCGAGGTGTTGCTATCGACCGTTAAAGAAAAAAGCTATCGAGATTCTGCCTCGCCCGCTACGCGACCTCAGCTTAATGATAAAACATTGTGAGCTTTGTTATACAACTATTTTATATTAAGACAATGAAGATGCTGGTCGCGAATTCATATCGCTGAGATTATTTATAGCCGAGGTGTTATAATCGACACCCTTAAAGAAAATGGTATCGAGAATATGCCTCGTCCGCTACGCGACCTCGGCTTATTAATAAAACATCATCATGTTATTATACAGGGTGTATCTGAATGACTGCAACAAACTTCAAGGGGTGATTTTTTAGTGAATTTTAAGGGTACTTTGATATATGAATCATGGGCGACTTCGGCTCCCCTAAGGAGCTACACCCCTCCAAAAATGGCGGAAAATTTTGGTTTAATTTTTTTTTCTCAAAAACTATAAACGCTAGGAATATGAAATTTAGGGAATATGTTTAACTCATAATAGCGCACGTTTTGATGCTATTTGTACTTTTAACCTACCCTTCTAAACTACGAACCGTAACCACCCCCGTTCAATTTATGCCTAGATTTTTTTTATGAAGATGATAAATACATTGGAAAAATTTCAGTTAGATAAGTAAAACTATTTTAAAACTTTTTTATCTTTCTGAAGTTCTTCGAAAATTTAATAATTTCTGAGAAAAAAAATAATTAAGCAAACACTAACTGTTAAGCTGTAGGGTTGTTAATCGAAAGTTGGAATGAATTTTTAATGGAAAAATCTTAGTAGGCTTTGCAATCTTTGTCAGAAACATTTGTGACGTTTAAATGTCAGTAGTTTTCGTACTATTATTATTGTTTTATTTAAAATTTTGAAAAGTCGAGTGAACGAGCGTAAATGCGATAGAACTTTATTTAACAATTAATTTGAAAAACAATAATAATAGTAAGAAAAACACTGACATTTAAACGTCAAAAATATTTCTGACAAAGATTGCAAAGCCTACCAAGATTTTTTCATTAAAAATTCATTCCAACTTTTAATCGACAACCCCGTTGTTTAACAGGCTGTGTTTGCTTTTTTATTTTTTTTCTCAAAAATTAGTCGTTTTTGGAAAAATTTTAGAGAGACAGAAAAGTTTTAGGATACTTTCATCTACCTAGATAAAATTTTTTTAATGTATTTATCATCTGCATAAAAAAAACATTAGCAAAAATGTGAAGGGGGTGGTTACGTTTAGTAGTTTAGAAGGGTAGGTTGAAAGTACAAGTAGGGTCAAAACATGCCCTATTATGAGTTAAACATATTCCCCAAATTTCATTTTCCTAGCGCTTATGGATTTTGAGAAAAACAAATTAAACCAAAATTTTCCGCCATTTTTGGAGGGGTGTAGCTCCTTAGGGGAGCCGAAGTCGCCCATGGTTCATATATCAAAGTACCCTTAAAATTCACTAAAGAATCACCCCTTGAAGTTTGTTGCAGTCATTCAGATACACCCTGTATAACTAATTATTCTATTTTGGGGTAATGAAGAAGTTGGTCGTGAATTGTTATAGCTAAGATCCTTTATAGCCGAGGTGTTGCAATCAACCGTTGAAGAAAAAAGCTATCGAGGTTCTGCCTCGCCCGCTTCGCGACCTCGGCTTAATGATAGAACATCGTGATCTTTGTTATAGAATTATTTTATATTAAGACAATGAAAATGCTGGTCGCGAATTCATATGGCTGAGATTATTTATAGCCAAGGTGTTATAATCGACACCCTTAAAGAAAATGGTATCGAGGATATGCCTCGCCCGCTACGCGACCTCGGCTTATTAATAAAACATCATCATGTTATTATACAACTAATTATTCTATTTTGAGATAATGAAGAAGTTGGTCGTGAATTGTTATAGATGAGATCGTTTATAGTCGAGGTGTTGCAATCAACCGTTGAAAAAAAAAAAGCTATCGAGGCACTGCCTCGCCCGCTACGCGACCTCGGCTTAATGATAGAAGCTCGTGATCTTTGTTATAGAACTATTTTATATTAAGACAATAAAAATGTTGGTCGCGAATTCATATGACTGTATATGATTAACATTTTTTTAAATTTTTGGACAAGCTATTACATCCTGAAGTCCTGCGCATATATTATGAAACACCCTATATATATTTATTATATATATATTGATCCCATTATCTCACCCTGTATTCCGATCAAAACACACAGACTTCTTCGCAAATAAATGTATATAAAATAGATATTAAATATACTTATCTAAAGATAGACGAAAATCTCGGAGGTATGACAGCAATTGTCCGAAACTAGGTCTTTCTATGACATTTTGAACCCAACAACATTTCATGACAGCGTAAAGTTCGTCGGGACAATTTAACGGTTGATGTAGACGGTGTCCCTTTTGAAGATGGTCGATCATTTGAAAGAAATCGATATCAATATATGGTTGTTGAGCTAACGTGATTAATTCCCATAAAACGATACCAAAAGACCACTAAAATTAAAATTTTTAATAACAACTTAAAAAAAATATGTATTTTTTAATCTTAATTACCACATCAGAAGCTGCGGTAAATTGTTTATGTGTTAAAGTTTCGATTGATAGCCATTTGATAGGGCGATTTTCATTGTCGTATAAGCAACAATAATCGTCTGGAAACAGATCCTTCGCTAATCCGCTGTCAGTTATTTTCAATTCGAGTCTATCATCAATCCTATGAAGAGGAAAATGCATACTACTAGCTTAAATATTTATAGATTTCGTAATAGGAAAGTATGAACGGATGTGGAAGTTGGATTTTTTTGCTATGAAATGAAAGGATCCATAGAAGTGTTGATAAGAAGTATAAGTTCAACAAACATTTGTCGAACGCAAACGAAAATTGCATCGAGCGTTTGATAGGCTTATTGTTCGAATACAATCGAATATTAACCTATATATGTATGTATTTTTTGTTTACGCATGCTCCCTATAGATAAGGTTGTTTTTTGACTTACACGCAGTTTCTGGTTGCTAAATCTTTATGACAAAGACATTGGTTGTGCAAGTACATAACTCCCAAAATAATTTGGATACCAAAATCAACCAAAATTCTAGTCGACAACGGGTGCTGGTCCTTGGTTCTCTGTCGGCACTGTATGAGGAACCTGAAAAAAAAGGTTTAGGAACCATAAACTTTACAACCTCGCTTTCCCTTTCGAAAAAGGGAATCTTACAAAAAGTTGCGTCCTAACCAATCATAAATCTTCATCTTTAACAAAGTTCTATGAACGCTATTTGGAAGGTTTAACTTTTTATGACTTCCAAATTGCGTAAAAAGGGAAACCGATCTTTCTACGAATTCGCACCTTTTTAAATTCCCTTTGCCCGCGTAAGGATACACCAGCAACGGACCCCTTTCGTCATCTACGTTCGCCCCAATCACCGGAAGAATGTGTTTGTGCTTCAATCCAAACATCATAGTTCCTTCTGTTAAGAACATCGACGTTTGCAATTTTAACGCCGATTCCGTTACCGTTTTTATAATCACGTCTTGATTTGATTCCAATCTTCCTTTGTAAATTCTACTAAAGTTTCCTTCTTGGACGATAGATTCCAATGTAATTGACGATTTTGGTAACGATAACGAACGCAATCTATCGCTTGGGTCTCGTAGGTGTGGATCTTGTAAAGGTGTCTATAAACAAAGCTTTTACTATTCAACTACAGATGTCGCGTCAGTTATTTAATTAGTTTCAAACCTGCGAGAGAAATATAATTTGCGATGAGGCGTAATATGATATCCTTTGGTTGTCGGTACTTGCATAAGGAGATGGCGATGGTGGAGTCTTGTGGATGCTGGCGATGGTCGCATAGCTTCCGCTTTCATCGCTGGAGGGTCGTCCACCGATTGCAGAACCCAAGTGGACAAACACGTGTCGACTCCGATCGTAGACGACGCCTACGTAATCGGCGTCGTCTTCGGACCTCGTCTTCTTTGTCCTTATGCAAACGGCCGATGTCGTGATGATAACGAGGGCAATCATTGCGATTGCCGAAGCTACCCCTACGTAGAGGGACCTGTTTGAACTCGCCAATCCCTCTGGATCTAATATAATCGACCCCACAGGTGGGACTACTCCTAAGAAATGAAATCGTTACAACTAACTCCTAACTACAGTGCGTTTCTTAATTAATTAATTATCGTACCCGACGAATATGCAACCAATTTCACAGTATACGCGATTTTCGTATTACATTGTGATATTAGTTGCATATTATATTAATTAACAAAAAGTTTATTAACCTTTTTTACAAATTTTATTTCTTCGAAAGTTAATTGAAGTTTCGTTTTGGAGATGAGTAACATTTAGTTGGAGAAGAATCTGGACCTCTGCGCTTTTCGCCCCGGTGCATATGAGCTGTATCCTGGAAAATGTGGTTTTAGGAGTGCACGAGTTCGGTCGTATCGCTTACGGTCGGCCTACCTAAAGGTCTGCACAGCTGCAGGAATTATTCCGGCGGATGAAATATTCATTTGGGGAGGCAGCATTGCGCCCTGATTGTCGTAGTGTATCGACAAAACGTATGGCAGCTGAAATTTTAATTTCGCCATTTAAATTTGCATGAAGCCCGTTTTGGTTTCGCGACGACGCACTTCAATGAAGCGTTTCCAAGGGTAACCGATACATGGTATAATTCGGTCGTTCCCCAACGGCTTAATTGATACGTTGACACGCTCCGTTTCAATTAATTTCGAATAATTTCATAAAAATTTATGCAATAAACCGAATATGCAGGATTAAGGAATCAGATATTGATCTGATAGGCAACCCGAAAGATGCTGTGGAATGTTAGGCATTCAATTAAAGTTGTACGTTGTCATTCGAGCGCCAAAGATTTGTCCGAAAGCGAAACGGGTCCCCCCTGAAAATGGATGTGATTTACCACTCGAATTTCGTCTCTCTCCCTCTTTCGAGATCAAAGTAATCGTATTTATAAGGGCAAAGTAAGGGTTTATAATTCGTAGACCACGCGCCGGTGATTTCAAAAGATACGACGTTATTTATCTTCAATCTAAGACCTTATTTATTTATATTAGAAATTTGTAAAGTGTCAAATTTATATTATCATTGCAAGTATGCAACCAATATCACAATATTCGTATTGCAATACGCAAATCGCGTTATTGGTTGCATACTTGCAATGATGAGGTTATATAAAAATTAAAAGTTAATAACTTGGGATGGGATTTCGAAGGTTGTGGAGCCTGTAAAGCTTGTTGTTAGAGTACCTTCTATGGTGTGGTTCGAAAAAGTTCGGCGACGACATCAAACGGCATATTTAAAGAGGGGTGGGGGTGAGTGCGCTTTCCCGACAGTTTAAAAGCCTTGTCTGAGGACGTTAAATTTTTAATTTTTTTACTCTATTCTTGCCTTCTGGGCGTATTTAAACGGGGGGTAATTGCCAACTCCCTTTATATGAGACCAGGCAACAGGCCGCTCTTAAGACAAGGGAAAAAAGCTCGTATAACACACTTCGTTTGTTCTCGCATTTTTCATTAAAGCGACGTCGTAAAGCCGCTTTATTGCGACACCTATCGATTAACCGGCTCCGGAAAGTCGTTTCGAAATTATTCGTTTTTTATTTCTACACTACGTATCTACAGTAGTGATGGAACGGATAGTGATTTTGCAAAAAGCCGGATATCCGGTTATCCGGCCATTATGGTTATAATTTCGAAAATTGCAAAATTTGAAAAAATCTCAAAAACTAAAAGTGATTTTGCAAAACGCCTTGTTGCATTAAAAAGGGGATACTTTAATTAATAATTGGTGATATTTCCACAAGGATCCTACAAGATATTAATTTTATAGCGAATTTTGAAAATTATCGCAACATCGAAAATTTTAAGGAAAACTAAAAGTTATTTTTCAAAACGGGCTGGTTCATTGGAAAGAGGGCACTTTTATTAACACTTTGGGAAATTTTCATACTCATATTCCAAGAAATGGATTTTATACGAATTTTTAAAACTTAATCGGCGAAAATTGCAAAATCGATTATTTCAAAAATTTATTTCTCAAGAACTAAAAGTGATTTTGCAAAACGGCTTTTTGCATTAAAAAGGGGATACTTTAATTAATAATTGGTGATATTTCTACAAGAAATTAATTTTATAGCGAATTTTGAACATTATCGCAACATCGAAATTATTAAATATTGTTTTTTCAAAAACTAAAAGTTATTTTTCAAAACGGATTGGTTCATTGGAAAGAGGACACTTTTATTAACACTTTGGGAAATTTTTATACTCATATTCCAAGAAGTGGATTTTATACGAATTTTTAAAACTTAATCGGCGAAAATTGCAAAATCGATTATTTTAAAAATTTATTTCTCACGAACTAAAAGTGATTTTGCAAAACGGCTTTTTGCATTAAAAAGGGGATACTGTAATTAATAATTGGTGATATTTCCACAAGGATCCTTCAAGAAATTAATTTTTTGCGAATTTTGAAAATTATCGCAACATCGAAAATTTTAAATATTGTTTTTTCAAAAACTAAAAGTTATTTTTCAAAACGGGTTGGTTCATTGGAAAGAGGACACTTTTATTGACACTTTGGGAATTTTTTATACATAATTAGTATGCAACCAATATCACAGTATTGGTATTCGCAAATCGCGCGTGATATTGGTTGCATACGATAAACAATTCTTTAATAAAAAATTTGCTTTAGTTCTCTAAGAGCCGGTTAAACCTTAAACGAATTAAGCAACCCCTCCGTGAAATTACCTATTAGATGAAATCTTATTTCCCCTAGGGTAATCCCCTATATGAACCCTTTAACTTACAAATTTTTATTGCGATTTCAACAATTTATCAAGTTTTTTCAGAATGTGTTTTTAGAACCGGATTGAAACAAATCTTTGTGGAGAATTTCCTATTAGAGTGAAAAAAAACATGGCAGCGTGTATGGTTGTTTTCAGCTTTCAGAGTAATACGAGGGTGGTTTTGAGAGGACGCGAACGGTTGTTAACGGGGGTATATTTTTCGTTCGGTCGCTAACAAGTACAAACAGTTTAGATGACACTTAATTGAAGCGACGAACGCAACGGAGCTTTTCAACTAAGGGGGCGACGAACCAAATAAAAGGGCGACCAGCGAAATTTTAATTGAAAAGTTGTTTGCGTCGCGCTACTGGCACCGAACCCGTCGAAGTTGCTCCGAGTTGATGATCAAAATATTTGCGCTTCGACTTCGAAATACACAAGACGACTTCATTGTATTAATTTTAATATCGATCACGAAAATACGTTTTAGATAGCATTTATAATAAATGTAGGCGGCATAAGCCATAACCTGCTGATTATATAATCGATAGAGTTGGTCGAGGTAAAGGGTCGCCTCACCGGGTATTTCGTAAGTCTCTGCCATGAAAATTGAAGGTCCGATATGTTCGCCGGCACTTGCATTACGAAGTTAAGTGCGTACGTGTTTACCACTCCCTCTTTTACATACACTACGTCAGTGTTGATTCCTGAAAATGAAAAGAATTGTTAAAACTTCATATAAATCAAAATTATTAATATTATGACTCTATTGGAATTTCGAATATATCGGAAGCGCATATACTGGGGGTAGATGTTTGTTTTTCCAGACGGATAAGTTCCGAATGATAGTACGCTTTTAAAATGGAAAGCAAACAAGTTTAGGCGTATGGAAACAATATGAGGGGACGAGCAAATATTTCCTTTGAGTCTGCAATTCTAATGTGGTGCGCGAAAATAGAGTCCGAATTTAATTAAAAAGTTAACCGTGCGGTTTTTTCCTTTTTGTTCGAACGCCTGAATTTGACAGTTTTAATTTGAACAAACCCCCGCCGGCGTTAATTAACGCAAAAGCCGAAAAAACTGAACCTCTCGATCATCCGATTATCAATTCGATTATTATTTTAGACTTTAATCCCAAAAACAAAAACTTACTTCTACAAGCTATCAATTCTTTTGTTTTTCTCACCTAAAAGTTTCATAAACTCAGCCGGTTCTATGAAAACGTTAAAGTGACCTTCAGCGACGCACCAAAGCTGAAAGAGCACCACCGCTAGCATCGTGCTGCCACCGTGCGGGCTTCAGCCGCAACTGAAAACTGAACGGAAACCCCGATGCACGTCTACCCGCCTTCGGGGTGCGCAATCTCCCTACTTTTCTGCACTTTAATTGCAATTCTGATTGGATTATAAGTAATACCCGGAGATTTGATGCGACAAAAAATCTCTTTTCATATTTCACCTTTAATTATCATCTTATCTTCTATATATATATATATATAACCAAATGAAAGTTATTTTGTGCGAAAGGAACATTTTTTGACCTTGACTTTATTTTCAAGGTTATATGAAGGTCACGACCAATTTTTTAAAAGGCACCCTATACAAGGTGTTTCGGTGACTCGGGGAATAAATTTATTAATATACTAGAGTGAAAATGATGACGATTCATGTAAAAAAAAAATAGTAGGAAATTTTCCAAATATCTTAAATACTATTTACAGTAAAGCGCTGAAATTTGGTACAGTATAAATCAATGTGATGTACATTACATTACATAGAATACATATCGGGTAGGCGGACCAACCAACCTTGCACCGCGACCTTAAGGATCTATTGTACCCCGATAGATATTGTTATCAAATTTCACCGTGCAGTCCAATGCTCTTAACGAACATTAATACATTAATCTTTTGAGGAGATAAACTGCGACCCAAAAATCGAGAATCTGATACGGTTAACGGCAGGGCAGTGGCATAAAACATGCTCAACCGTCTCTGCTTCCTCCGCACATAGTCGGCATTCAACATCGTCGGCTAAACCCAACAAGTTGAGGTGTGCTTTTAATCGGCAGTGCCCAGTAAAAACACCCATTAGAACTTTTATGCTACTACGGGCAAGTCCTAAAATATTCCCGGGTTTGACAGTGGCGATGTTAATAAACACCTTAGCATGTCTCATTCCAGGAGAACTGGTCCACAGTAGGCGAAGTCTCTCTTCAGCCCACAGTCCAATCCTATATTTGGCCATCGCAAATGATACACCAACTGC